GTTTAATCCAAATCTGGCCAGAAATGAGAAAGTTATAGCATGTTTCAACCCCCCTACCCCACCCCACAGTATATCCTATGGGTAAAACATCGAAAGAGGGTTGAAACGGCAAAACGTTTCGCCGGAACGAAACAGAACAGCTGTTTTGATTCAAAACAAAAGTTGAAACGAAACACTGTTCTGTCGAAACGGAACGCTTCCATTTCACACAGCCCTAGTCCTCCCCAGGGAGAAACACTCCCAAATGCAGCTCCAAGTTGATCTCATTTCTACCACAAAACAAAACGTGTATACAACCTCTAAGCTTTAACCACTTGTTTTACCAGATGAGCATAGGTTCAGAAGTGAGTTGCTGTAGACTGAGAACACAGTTTCTGGCCGGCCTGCATCTTACAGTGCTAAGAACAATCAGCTACAAACTCCACACCTCTCTGAACCAGTTAGTCTCTAAGGTGTGTGACCCTGCCTTGCCTTCTGCCTGTCTTCGGACTAACATGGCTAACTACTTCTCAGATGAGGAACAGAGATCAAAGATCCAAACAATTCAAAAAGAATCAGATGAGAAAGTGAGTAAGAAACACAAAGCAGGTTTCAAATTTTCCTCTGGACAGAACCAACCCTTGCTGTGTAATTCTCAAAGGTATCTGTGACTTCCCTAGGGGTACAAGGTAGGCAGTCACTGACCAGTTTCAGGTTGTCTCTGTTGATCTACTGAAGAGGAGACCATATTGTGCTGGAAGGACCTGAGTACCCTACTCTGGTGCAGGGATTTTGAAGACCCGAGCCGCCACGATCTGACCCAACACTGAGAACTCTGCACTGCACCCAGGCCACAGACCATCTTGTTCCTGGGAGGTGCACATGTTTGTGGAAGGAACGTGTGATTTCATTTGTACCTTATTCAGCTGATTTTTCACATGATAAATGAAAAGTCTGAAACTGAAAATTCTCAGAAGGAAACATAACAATCCTGGAGGCTGTTCTTGGAAAAATAAGTTGTGTGTGTAGTGTTGCTTTTTCATTGAATGTGATTTTTTTTTTTTTTTTTTTGCTGAGAAGTTTCTGTTTTTATTAAATCTTTCTGACCCCATCCTCATTCCCCTTCTCATTTCCACAACTCACCCCCACCTCCCATTAGCCACCTCTTCACCCTCCCATATCTAATCCCATCCCATGCCAGTGGCCTCTCTCCCACCATAGATTTCCTCAGACAGACTCAACCTCACCTAGCTCTGAATTTCCTCCTCTCTGCGCCCTGTGTCTGGTATCAAATCTCTTTCTTCAGCCCTGACTCGGATTGATGTTGGAGCTGCAGTTTTCTCATTTACACAGAGTTAAACATTTTCTGCAGTGCCTCAAGGGGCTGTAACTTTGCCCATGGACTCCTCCTAGGGCAGCAAAAACAGCTGGAAATGTGGGCAGAAATCGAAAGCCCCTTGGGTGCTTTATTCTTTGTTCAGAAACCAAAGCTAACCCTATTCTGCTCTCCCCTCAGAGCCATGGCCACAAAGGGACCCTGAAGGAAGTCTCCAGGATGAAGTGACCTACTCCATCTGCCTGGAGTTTTTCAAGGATCCTGTGATTTTAAGCTGTACGCACAACTGCTGCCGAGCCTGCATCGATCAGTGTTGTGGGGAGGGTTGGACACCGACATCTCCTGCCCTAGATGCAGTCAGACCTTTCTCCATGGCAATTCTGAACCCACTGGGAGGCTGGCAAGTGTTACAGAAATAGCCCAGCAGCAGTGTGCTGGCAGGGAGCAAGTGTGAGGAGCCTGGGAAGGCTCTGAAGCTCTTCTGGGAAGCAGAGCAAATACTGATGTGCTCCATCTGTCCAGAGTCCCAGGCACACTGAGCTCACACTGTGGTTCCCATCCAGGGGGCTGCCCAGCAGTGCAAGGTAAGGAGGAGCTGGAGGGTGGTGAGGGAGGCAAACTGAACAGCTAGCATTAACGCTTCCTATACTGCTGGATCTTTCTCTCCTATAGCTATGACTACAACTTTAGCACTGCACTCAGTGTGATTTCTATGGAAGAGCTTGAATGTGCCGGTGCATACACGCACACATGCTAAGGCAACAGTCATTTGCGGATCAATTTAATTTAATCATTTAATTTATGTTAAATGACATTTATGTTAATTATTTATGTTAAAAACGGATGTGTTTGGAGACACCTGTGTGAATGTTATATTAGTAAGAGGCCTGGAAATGTCTCTATATAGTGAGGATTGCATTTTAAAACAAGCTAAAAGTAATGTATGGCCTGAAGCTGGTTCCTTATTCTTCCCAGATCGCTATTTGTCATAGCCGTTCCATATTTGCAGGTTGTGAATCCTTATTCAAAAACCAAATGAAATAAAATAGATGTTGATCATCTTTAACATTCCTGTGATCGAGCTAATGTGCAAATGCAATGAGTGCAAAATGCTGGGACTGCATATACTTGAGCATGCCCAGCCCACTCACTCCTTCTTTCACTACAGAGTTTACTTGTATAAAATGATAGGGGTAGGTCATTGTTCCCTTCCCAAAGGCCAACTCGCTCAACAACTTTCCTTCCCTTAGGAACAAATTCAGCCTTAGTTGGAGATTCTGAGGGAAGAGAGAAAAAGGCTTGAGGGGGAAGAAAAGTTGGAGACACCAGGAATATCAGGTTGGTGCTTATGGTTACTGGTGGTCAGGACAGCCAGGGGAGGAAAGGAGGGGATGTCTCCTTCTCTGTGTGTTCTGGTGAAACTGTGCACACTGTTTTTTGACTGTGTGTTGCTGTGTGTGGTGGCAGGTGCCTCTGGGGAGCTGCTGGGCTGGTTTGAGTTTAAGCTACTGTTAATGCGCAGCTGAGAACCAGGCGCTGAGGATTTCAACTGAGGTGGTTGAACTTAGGTCCCCAGTGGCCGCAAGACTGCAGCAGGCTACAGGTTCAGAGTCTGAGGGAGATAGGGCTGGAAAGGGCCAAGTGGTAACTGGAGGCCAGACTTGGAGTCCAGCAATGCCAAGAATGGAAGGGGGAAGAGGTGATAAGGGACCCTGGGATGTACAGGAGGAACTGGATGGGCTGGAGGCACTGCTAGGCTTCAGGGGTCAGGACAGCTTTCAGATCTAGGGATTAAAGTTAGGTCCCCAGAGGTTGAAGCAAAAGAAGGTGTTAGTGTAGCAGGCACTGGGAATCAGTGAATGAGCTGTGGGAGGCTGGAAGCTCCCATCAGCAGTGGATTTCTCTGCCAGTCACCACCAAGGGGCAGGACTGCCACAAAATGACTGTGGAATGAGAACTTTATGCCATGATCAACCCACAAAACTTGGTAGGTCCTGCCATGTTTTAATAGATCCCTGCAACCTATAGGCTCTTGCACCAATTCACTGACACTGCCAGTTCCTCCGTTCCTCTTGGTGAGATTCTGTTTGTCCCCATTTCTGTTCTGAAATCACTTTGCATGGCTGGCTGCCTTATACAGCTCCAACTTAGCTATGCAACCAACTTCTGTGGCGACTGAGCATGCTCGGAAGGGGTTGGAGATACACCTCAGGCTTGCAGAGACCACTTCCACCTCTCACATCTGGAGGCATCTAGGGAAGAATTCCAATATCTCCAATAACCCCAGGAGTGGTGCATAAATGCCACTTTTCTAGTACTGTTCCTGATGTTATAGTAATGATGGTCTTGGAATTACAGAAGAGGCAAGGCTTTCTTAGGGTGATTATCTTTTATTAGACCAACTGCATAGTTGGGATGGAGTTAGACAAGCTTTTAAATGCAAGACATTCTTCATCAGGTCATTCTTTCTAGTAAGTGTTTAAGTGTGATTCTACCTCCCTGCTGCTTCTGAATGTTACTGTATGTACACACATGTGATTTCCACAGCTAAGAGCGTTTCTACTAAGTACCCATCCCTGTTTAAACACTTGGGGGCCAGAATAAGGTAATTGTGCAGCTCCTGAACTCCTCAGCAGCCTCACTGGACCTGCAGCCCACAAAAGGACTCAGTGTAAGGGACTGGGATCACAGGCAGTTTTGTCTAATGGTTAGGCCACTGAGGGATAGCAGGGCCCAGGGGCTTGGTCAGAGTTCAGGATACAAATGACCAGATCCGGAGGGAAACCAGGGGCAGACTCCACAACTCAGGCTACAGTCTTAGTCCAGGAATCAGATACCAAATCCAAGAGAGAATCCACAGGTCGAAGTTTGACAACAGAGCCAAGTAAAATGAGGAACCAGGAAATAGGGCCGTGGGGAAATCCCTAATTAGAGTCTGGTAACAGAGCCAAGACCACTGCCAGGAATTGGGAAAGCCGCACCAGGAAGCTAGCCTAAGCAGAATAGGGTCAGAAACATTGCTGACACGGTACTTGGTGTCACCACTGGAGCTAAATGCATGGGTAGCCTTCTAAACACACAGTCAGGAAGCTGGTATCTGGGGCCAGATTGTCATTTTGCCAGCCAGAGATTCAAGACAGGTGTGGAGGCCTTAGGCAGTTAACTCAGACTGGGCCACCTGATTGGGGTCCCTGACACTCAGTGGTCATGGCCAGCAGTAGGGGAGGCATCAAGTGGCCAAGCAAGCACAGCTGAGCTAGGCAGCATTAGGAAAGGCTACTCCCGAGAGTGGACTTTGGTGAGACTGAGTAGTGTTAGGTTCAGGACCGGCACGTTATTTGTAGGGCCCAAGGGTGCCTGGCTCCAAGTTAGGGGCTAGACAGAGACTTAATGGCAAACAGGCAAGGCTAGTAGCAATCCAGGAAGACAGCTAGGGAGAAGAAGCAGGGGGCACCAGGAGCAGGAAGCTGGGAACAAGCCCCAGTGGCAACTGTAGGTGGATGAACAGTGGTCCAGGGAGAAGGGTGGGAGGACCAAGGGAGGACTGACTGCAGGGAGACCAGGGAGCAGTTTTCAACATAAGCAGGAACCCAAGAGTTGCACCTGATAGAAGCTACTGTATATGCAGTAGGAGCCCCAGCTTTGGCACTAACAAGCTGCAAGAGCCTGGGCAGTGCCAGGAACGTGTCCAGAGAATGGCAACAGCTTGCAGCTAAGAGCCCCATTTGAGCTTGGAAGCCTTCCTCAACCACATCTGCCTCCATGGCTACTGCCTGTGGGTAGGGGCTGAGGTGTGTCTCAGGTACAGCCCATCTCCAGAAGCCCTCTGGAAGGAGGATGTATTGCATGAGCCCCAGGGACTGAGCAGCCTTGCCTCTGCCCCACGGCTGGAGAGATGTCCAGCATATAGGAGTTCTCCCTGTGAGAGAATGTTGTTTGCAGAGAGCAGCACTGGGGGTTGGGGCGGGGGAGCAGGAGAATCTCTTTGCCAGGACTCATATAATTTAAGATTATTTTCTTTCAACTGCAGGAGTGCCTGTGGTTGGGGGCACTAATTAAGTGGAAGGTATGGACAGGGCTGCAGGAGGAAGACATTTCAGAGCTGGATGGCATTACTATATGAGAGGGTAGATACAGGTTAGATTCTTCCACCTGTGGACTAGACACCCTTGTATATGTATAATGGGGACATTTATGTGTCGCTGGAG